TTTAGTATTCCTTTTACATATTTTTATATTTACTTTTTTATACTTTTTACATATAGTTAGTTTTTTTTTATCTAGATTTAATTTAATCCATCACGATTCCATTGTATAATGACTTGCGGTTGTGGAGATTGGTACTGCCTCGGTAATTTATTCTATATATTTGAAAGGTATGTAAACAAGGTTTTTAAACTAAACAATAACAATATAAATAAACAAAAAGTACATATATCGTATTTCTAACATTTATATATCCTAACAATAAATTCTCTAATATTTCACAGTTTGTGATCTCTATCATATCATAATTGATTCCGAGTCTATAAAACCCATCAAACTAAAAATTACTGGATTCTGGTAAAGCTTAAAAGGGATATCTCACTAAAATCATACGAAAGTACGTTCTTCTTTGCTACATTGGTTTTGATTGTGTTTCACACACTACAGAAACAGTATTTACCACAGAACACAGAAAAACGTATTTACTATGTTCCTCAAAAATCATAAACTGTTTGCCATCTTGTAATCCCGTATAATAAAATACGTAGGAGTAAAAGAAGATAAATGGTGAACCATTTATTTGATGGTTTGTAAATATAAACCCTTTTCCAAGCCTAGCTTTGGTAGAGATTTATATCGGTAACTCACGGTGAACTAATATGAATTCTTTTTAATGGGTGCTGAATAATTTAAACTATTTCAACGAGGTACAAGTGCAAATGGTAATCGCCTTATATTAATCTTAAATTACTTCTCAATCGAATAGTCTTCTTTGTTAAAGGGTCGCAGCATGCTGTGCATTAGCAGCAGTCGTATCTTGTATCATATTTACCGTAATAATAAGCGTTGGCCTCGGCGTAGGCATAGGTTACAACTACTGTTTGGTGGAAAGGAAAACGGCTGCATCAGAAAAATCTCCAGCAAGTGTAGAAAGTCGGCGAAGAGCTAGAGAGGGTCTATCAGATTCGTTTAAAGTCACTGCATATAAAATTGAGAACACAACAAAATCTAATGTTGATTTCGAGACTGATTCTAAATTTAAATCAAATAATATCAGAAGATTAAAGTCGAGGAAAAACACAGAGAAATTTAAAGGTAATGTTTCTTACATGAATTTTTTATATGGCTAACGGTCAGATGACCAGACGTCCATTAAGGTTTAATGACGCCTTTTAGCTCTGATAAATGTCAAATTTGTATGGGTAATGTAGCTTTAGACTATTAAAAATTTGAATGGATGTTTGTGCAACTGGCTGTATATCATACGTTGGATGCAAAGTTTTATTGAGAATTCGTAACCTAAAAAAGATTCAAATTCGATTTATTACTTCATGATTTGTAGTCTCCAGAGACCGAAAACCATTTTCTGATTAGAAGTAGGTACTCCTATGACACTTAAGATTTACAAAATTTGCAATTCTGACATTTAAAAGTATCAGCAATATTCTTTGAGTGTTGGCATCACAGAATCTGGATTATGTAGGTATATATTTTCAATTTAATCTTCAAAATTTTCTCTTACAGAAATATTGGATACTGACAATACACAACACGCAGCAATATACAGTCCATCCAGCACAATAATGGTCGTACCCTTGACGTCACAAATGAACATATCTTCAATAATATCGCGAATATTAGCCAAAAACGAAAACGTTACCGTTCAGTTTATAAGCATATGAATAAAATAGGAAACCAATTGTGTGCATTTATTTTATAAAATCCATTAGAGCAATACTCTATTGACTACGAGTATATGTATATTGTAAGTATCAAAGTAGCTGGCTAGTAAAATATCATTGACGGCATGTGCCCTGTAATATACAAGTTGATATTGTATTTATATTACCTTTCGTAAGTAAGTAATATTGAATTTCACGACTGCATAGATGACTGTATAATTCTTTATTAACCCTTAAATTGGCAAGATCTTTTTTTTCCAAATTATGCTTAATTAAGTGATATATCTGATTTATTGTGACCTAAAAAGCATAAAAAAAATATTTAAAAAAATCCATCATTTTCAGTTTTTGCGAAAAACAGTGTACTTCACGAATTACGTTGCCAACTAGTATGAAAGCTATATGTTCCTATAAATATACTAGGTGGAGTACGTCGCCAAGAATAAAATAAACCATATTTGTGAATAAATTCTTTATTTTAATTTATTATAATTATTTTGTGTGAAAATGAAGAAAGCAGTTCCTTTTATTATTTTCTCCGACAACAAAACACAAGTGCATATTGCATTTTATGCAAAACACTTTGGTTCTGCCAACTTTACAGAATCTACACCGCGACTGCTTGTTACGAGACTCAGGAAAATGTCCAACTGCATCATACCGGACACAATCAGCAGGTCTTTGAACAGCTGGTTTCTGAATTTTTTTGTGATCATCAATCTTTTCTACACCTATGAAGTTAGTGCTTTTGCCTGCTCGACACAATCCCTCAAACAACTCTAGGCGAAACTCTTTGAGAGATTTCTTATCTTTAGTATCTCGCCTATATAAAAGCCATGCGTTACTGATGCACATATCTAGTAGTTGCGCAAATATACGTAGATACCATCTTCGGCTTTTAAATGGTGTGCGATACAGAGAGATCAGCATATCGGCAAGGTCGACACCACCCATGTGTTTGTTATAAGCGCGAACCAACTGAGGGCAGTCGATATCTATTTTGGCCTTCGCATCCTTTGTATATCTTCTGATCTTGTCTATGGGATACGAATCCATAAAGGAACTTATTAACGTTACCACCTTGTTATCGTTCCACTTAACAACTGCTAATTTGTTACGATTGCATACTACTTGAGAGCTGTAGCCTCTTTTCTTCTTTTTCATTTCCTTATCTGAAGGTAGAAGCTGTTCACAACCTCTTAGTCGGTTTGCCCTTAAAGTGCCAAGGCTAAACACCCCATACTCTTCTCGCAACAAATAAACCAGTTCGGGAGAAGTAAAGAAATTGTCAGCATATATGATAGATGGCTTTTGTTTTATTGTTTTACATAAAGTTATCACTACCATACCCCCAACACCAAGTGATGCCTCTTGTGACGTGAAGGTTTGTTCACGAAATGTGTCTTCACCACCGTACATCATAAAGTCATAGATCAGACCTGAAATGCCAGTTCGTACAAAATTTTTGTAACCCCATTTCTTGGGTTTGTTCTTGATATATTGCCTTCTTTTACCGGCTTTCGTGCCCTTGTATGGGATCATCATCTCATCTATGGAATACTGACCTTCTTCTTCAATTTTCAAAAAATTTTGTCGAATCTTTTCCATAACTGGACGAATTTTGAAATATCGGTCCGAGTTCTCTAAGGTGTTGTCGACAAAGTGAATATTTCGAAGTATTTGTTGATAACGCTTAAGAGACATTTCGTTCGCTATTAGTGAATATCTAGTTCTTCTGGCCCAATAATCAGTGTATGCTGGCATTCGAATTATACCCATCAGGATTTTGATTGCGAGAAAACTCTTAAGTTCATTGGTATTTAACTGGATTGATTTACCATATTGTTGAACCGAGTACAAATTAGTATTGTGAACGATATCTTCGATAATTTCGGATGAAAAAAACGAGTAAAAGTAATCTAATACTGTATCATATGGCGATTTATGGAGTTCGTGCACGTTGTCGTCTATAAATGCTCTGCAACGCAAAGAAGTTTTCTTCCAGTTGAAATTTAGTGCAAGCTTAGGCTTTTTTACTGTTTTTGCTGTAACAGATGTTTTTTTTGCGTTTAGATCTAGTGATTGGTATATTAGTGGCTGTCGACGTGCTGGGTACCGGTGACTGAAGGGCTTCTAGTGATGGTGTGTGTAACGTGGCTTTTGATGTGCTGGGAATCGGGGATTCAAGAACTTCTACTGATGGTGAAGGCAGGGATTGAATAGAATCTAATGTGGGGATGGCGTTGTAATTATCCACTGAAGGGGATGGAAAGATCTCTTGAAATGTAGGTGTTAACGGTATGTGTTCGAGGTTATGATTAGATGCGTTATCAGAATCGTCAGCTAAAATATTTAGTCGTTCGAATGAGGAGTCTAATGAAGGTGGATCAGAACTAACGTTTGAGAGTGGTAATGTAATATGATTTGCCTCATCGTCGGAACTGGAACTATCTTCTGAACAAGCATTTTCCACAGGAACCAAAGCCAGAATCTTGTGCGATCGTGTTAAAGTCAAGCACTGCAGGCAAAGAAAAAAAGGGCATGCCATATAAACAAAAAAACCACACCCAGTAGCTGGAACGCAGTATGAAAAAAGGAAAAACATTTGTATAGGTACTTGGCAATGTACTTCGTGTATACCATAGTCAATTTAGTATTCTTTACACCTTATTTGGCAACGGCATTCACGTAGTACGTTCACGCGCACAAGCCCATAAGGTCAAATGTATGTAATATAAACATCTAAAACTGAAGTTAGAATATATTTATACTATTCCCATGCAATGTAAAGCAGAATAACCACAGTTTCCATACAAAAACATAAAAAAATACGAAAATAACTTACCCGCTTCACAGACACACCCGGCCGCTTCGAAATCATTTTGATTTTGACAGTTGGTCGTAAATGTTGCTACAGTATAAATTACTTTCTACCAAAATTTATAGTTTTTAGAAGCTAATAAATTAATAAATTTTAAAATAGTTCGAATAAATTAAGCTGTAGATTTTTACGAATTCAGTGTACTCTGTGTAGTACGCTATCAATTTAAGGGTTAATATATCTAGTATAAATCTATCACAGTTAAATTTTAAAGTCAGAGACAGCTTGATGGAATTTATGATGTTGGAAGAAAGATTTTATAGTATCGACAGAAAAAAAAATTGTAGCGAAATAAAAGTAGACTATTGAATATAAATTATATTTTAAAAACTTGGTAAATCTTAATAAGTACATATTAAAACTAAAGCAAACTAATAAAATAAAGTATAAAACTTAAAAAATTAAATTAATACAAATTACTTTGTAAATAAAAGCATCAGTTAATCCGTTTCTATTCTAACAGTATAGTTTTTATTCTCCGACCTCAGTTTCGTTAATAAAGCTAATAAATCAAGCCCATTGACTCGCAGAACAGTCTTTGAATAATTTGAAATTTTATCTGCAGACTTCTCTAAAGTTTCCCTTGTACTGGTTTCTACATTACTAATATTAATTTTATTTATGTCTTCATATTTCTCATTTGCAATTGGTAATGAAGCATTGTACCTTTTTTTATTTAATATATCTGATGAAGGTATAGCTAAGGATATGTTTAAATTGTCGAAACTGGTGTCGTTATACGCTATAGAATCTATGGTATCATTATCAACGTTTACTCGACGCTCAAAAAATTGATGCCATTCATTTTGTGGTAAACGATAAATAGTAGGATATGGGGGGTAATATTGAATACGTCGGGGATAAGTCCTGGTTGCAGGCAGAATCGTGTATTTATAATAGCCGGGTACTGTAACAAAGAAATTCGTAAACCATAATATATGCTAATATTCTTCAACAGCCTTGTTACGTAGATGGATGCGTTGCAGCCCGCGAAAGTTGATGTTCAGCAACTTTCGCAAAGGTCGGTCACGGGATGGGTTACCAAAATATTATTATCTCTAAGCTATTCCGTGTTACAGAAAGCACGTTAAGCTGTTGATCTCGTCTACATTTGCAGTCGTCAATACCCTTCAATCTGCATTGGGCCGGTGTGGAGGATTATGGCCCATTCTCTTAAACCATACAAATCTTAAACCAAACATATAAGGAAGGCATGAGCCTCTAAAATGGAACCATGACATGACTGATGATGATGAAAATAAATAAAAATGTTGTTTACTATATCTGTGTCTCGTTTTGAAGTCAACGAAGCAGTAGTTGTAACCCAGTCCAATGCCAAGCACCAGCATCATTGTGATCGTGAACACCAGACATGTAACGAGGCCAGCCGCCGCCAAGCATAAAGCAAACCTGGTGAAAGAATACTCACGTATAAAATCTATTGTTTTTTTTAACATATATTGCTTTAATCATAGTTAACAGACACTGCCTTAGCCTCGCTATAACGCTATAGCTTATTGATTTCATCAATGAAACTTCCGAGTGGATTTTGATGAAATTTGGTAGTCAGAAAAATAGGAAGGATAGAAATCTTGACGACGAAGCTGCTGGCGGAAAGCTATTTCTTGTTATATTAATTACATATTCAATTAATGGTTATGTTTGTTACAGTTTTATGAATTATGAAATTTGAGTAAATGAAAGAAGTACTAATTTAAGCAAACAGGTCTATTTCAATAACTGAAATAAACTTCAATGTTTCATTAAGTACATAAATGATAGTAAAATCAATAAAATGTTCTTATGGCTACGTTGGAGCCATAACTAAACTTAGGAGGTCGCAGCCAAGGTAGATAAAACTTTCTGTAATAAAATCGCTAAGACTTTATTGGAGAGACGTTATTTCGTCATGTTAGTAATATTTTTACCAAGATGATTATTTTTATGCAGTTGCCGATGAAGATATTATAAATAAGCGCTTACTTTTCTGAAGCATGCAAAACATGTGAAAGTGTACATAATATTATTCCCATTTCGGTTTACGATAATTAAAAATTGTAAACAAAAGCTCTGTTTGCTGCAATTGAAATACTAGTGGACAATGCAAAAGCCGATAGAAAGCACTTCTTCTTCTGCACGAAAACTCAGTTTAGTATTGTTTTTAATATGTCAATGCCAGATTCAAAGAGTAAACTTTAGTTAGAGTCATATCCTTTGGTGGAAGACATAGACTATTAGGTATATAAAATTTTCTTTGTGCTCACAGAGATAAATAAGCCTTCTTTTTAATTTTAATAAAATCAATTTAAGCGACCGGATGCGTAATCGATAACTAAGGACGTGATGTTATGTGTGATTAACCCAAATGGGGTTTTCAGTAAAACAATAAAATGACCATGCTTTCTAAAGTCAAATACACAGATAAATAAAATAGAGGAGAATAACCCAACAAATCTGTCAAAAATGCTGTAAGTTATTAAGAATTTATACCTTGAACTTTTCCCGGTGATATTAGATAATTTTATTACCAAACTAGCTGTTTCTTCGCGACTTTTCCCGCGTAAATTAAAGCCTATTGATTTTATTTCTATGATTTGATTTTGTTCCCCATTGTAATAAGAAGCTAAGTTAGTAGAACAAATAATATCAAACGCAAAAAATGTGGTTGTTGATACAATAATAATTTTCTTTTTATTTTATTGATATTAAAGTTATATAAACGGAACGAGTAAATAAATGGTAATAACGTTCCCGATATTGGATAGACTGTAAACAGCCAGATTAAAAAAGAATTGCGAACCCAATCAGTATTTGTTGCTTTGACTTTGAAATAATCATTTTATTTGACCAAACAAAACTCGTTTATTCGTACTTTACTTGGTTTACTTTGTCAATTTTATTATAGCACTAACTGTTTCCCTGCTACTTCACCCGCGTAAATGATACCTAAGTCGCTCGCGTATGATGTAACTTCCCGTAGGTAAAAGAATTTTCAAAAACGGTCCAATAGTTTCGGACTCTATTCGATGAAAAAAAAAAACAAATAGACACACTAACATTCAAATCTTTCCTCTTAATAATCTTAGTACAGACTATTAAATAACGGAATAAGAAATATAAAAATTCATTCGTAATTTTTTCCTAATACTGAAAATTTGTTAGGCCAGGATAATTGTGATCAGTTAACGGATTAGTTGAAGTTGTTTCAAACCATTAATTTCTTTTAAAGTATTAACTGTCGCCAGCATACTGAGTTGTATTATCACCGCTAGTTCGAGGACAACACCAGGGCGACGATTTATTTTAAGGTAATAATCGCATATCAGCATTAATTTCAACGTAGATAATAATCGTATCTCAATAGAGTATCAACTACTTGCAGTTTGCTATTATACTATCTACCTGGAGTCCAATATTATTAATATCTTCTTCACAATACCCATATTTATTATTTTGTAATCAACTAACAAGTATTACACTAATGTTAGCAGAATAGTTCTGCAGTGTAACGGGTAACATTACAGGCAACACCCATTGCTTATATTGAGCTGGAGCCAGTTTTGACAACACATATCATTGCACTTTTCAATATTAGTCTGATCAAATAAGCTGTTAAGGAAAATATGTCACAATCAAAACGTGAATTTATCAAATTATCTCGATAAATAATAATGTTAGCATTACCATTATCCATTTCTTTTTTTAATTATATACCTTTTATATAGTGAAATTTGATAAATATGTGAGTCACTATGAAGTCAAGGATGTAGCACTTTTAGAATTATCGTAATGGTTTCTGAGGGATTAAATATCGTTTTTGCTTTGCAATTCACCATCCTCTGTTCCTATTTCATTACCGATCGCAATAAGATAGACGACAGACAGGCTTTTGACTTTACGGCGCCTCTTAACGAAGAGTTTAAATTTAACATTTTATCGTTACCCAATATATTGTACTGCTATGTAGAAAGCAAGCAATTCAGTAAACATATTTATTATGTCTTAAATGTTATGGATAAAATAAATAAGTAGCAGTTTGATGTTTATCTTAAAATTATTTTTATTTAATGTATTTGGGTAGACATTTATAAATGGTTAAGATATTTGGTATAAAATAATTCATTTGTCAAATCATTCAACTGAAATAGAAGAAATATTTATTTAGCTTATTTAAAAAGTGTGTCGTCCACGAAGCAAAATGTTTCGGAGCTAGAGCAGTCCCTTGGGGCAGTCCTTTAAGGAAAAAAGAAACTAGCCCTACTCAAAGTGCTCATTTTGTCAAAATCTATCTTACTCGTTGTCAGGTAAAGTGACCAATTTATATATTTTCGAATTGATTTAAATATCCAATACTTTATATTTCCACTTTAGTGTGTACCGTTACATTTACGTTGTTCGCTTACGAATGAGTCGGTATACTAAAAGCGAAACATCTGCGAAACTATAGCGAATGCTGAAAATTTACGTATGTGTAATGACGTTTTTCACAGTTGCCTGCGAAAAAGCAATGGCAAGGATGCAGCTATTTCGTCGTGCTTATAATAGAGTGAGACAAAGCATATGCTAAACGTTACCTTACAAGCTTTTTAGGCTTTTTAGTTGTTTCGCATTAGCTTGCCAAAACAAAACCCTCCTAAGCTATTGCGAATGCGATATCTGCATCAGTGTAACGATGATTTCCGACTGAATTAGGACTTTTTTGTCAAAGACGGTACGACAAAATCAGTTTCTGTATGTATTGTTACCATTTTTTTTTCTTTTCATTAAGAGGCTTAGTCAAAAGATCATTAATTATTTATTTTACTGCTAAGGCATTTTCAAGTATTTACCGAATTTTAAGTAGATTTTCGGATTACTTTAAGGTTAAATTATCTGTTACCTTCGTTTTCTGCTCTTCAATTAACCTTTTTCCGAAAGTTTAATTTGCAACTTTACATTTTCGATTGCTTCTATTTACGTAATAATTTATTATACATCGTCGCCTTATAAAGAAAGTCGCTACAATGTTTCTTCACTGTAGCATCAATGAATTGTCTTTGTTTTTATTGATATCGCAATACAGTTACACGATAAAAGGACTGGTCATTTAAGTTTCCTTTCCTTCAGAGTGACGAGCTGCGTGGAAGAATTGCTGATTTATATTTTTTTTATTATAGCATGCTTAACTGTTTTCTTCTAACTTTTTATTTTACTCGGCTGTTTTCAACTGTCAACGAATACAAAATGCTTGTAATTCTGTATTACACGGCGTTTCTCTGAAGATAATAATGTTTCGTTTTGTGAAACATGGTGCTTGAATTCTCCATGACAACCCTTCCGGTTTCCTTTCATGTTTAAAAGTAAATTAGTTTTCAAAACTAAATAAACAACTCATATTATTTTTCTACTTTTTCGTATTTGTATTGACATCTAAGTTTCGAACTTTTCAAATTTCAGTTGTTTTATACCTCATCATCAGCCCTTTTACGTCCCCACTGCAGGGGCTCAGGCCTTCCTTATGGATGGCTGAGGAGTATGGGCCATGACCCTCCACGCTGGCCCAATGCGGACTGGAGGGTATTGACGACTGCAAAATGCAGTCGGGACCAACGGCTTAACATGCCTTCCGAAGCACGGAGTAGCTCGAGATAATAATTTTTTGGTCACTCATCCCGTGACCGACCCTTGCGCAGGTTGCTTAACGACAACGATCGCGGGCCGCGGCGCTTATCCACTACGCCACCGAGCTACTCACTTTTTTATACCTATGTTAGTTAAAAGGAACGGAAATTACTGTCTTTGGTCCATTCGTTTCCTGCAAAAATCTACTTTTGCTAGAGTCGCCATCTAGTGGAGATGCTTTTTTGTGCATTCGTTTTTTTAAATACTTTCTCATTTAAATATTGATTCCTGTTTGATTTGAAAAGTCGGACGGACGCAATTATAAAGCTATACAAAAAAATATAAATCCATTCCGCATAATAATTCGTTTTGGTGCATTTTCCGATACTCGGCCCGCATTTAGTCGCTTTTAATCGATAGTCGATAAAATGTACAAAACTATGTTTTTTTTTTAAATAATATGGTATAGTCTAAATGGCGACGTTAAATCATGAAGGACCCACCAGATACACTGTATCAAGCATATGACATTTTCAAATATCAGAGAAATATTATGTTCGTGAGTTTTGCTTAAATGTCTAGAGTTTTGTTTAATGCAGATATTTCATCTGAGGGGTACACTGATTAGGACTGTCACATTATATAGATAAAATTCCTTAAAAATAGATAAAAAAACTGAATGTTTATAAGTAGCGTTTAAAATCAACTGATATAATTGTCGGCAAGAATTATTTTTCGACTACACGAATATCTTTTTCAAGAAATTCTTTTTTTAAAATCCCATCATGCGTATGACGAACCTGAGAACGTTTTGTCTACACCCAAATGTCACTTTTATCGGGTGCGCTAATACGATATCTCACTTTCATCCCCAGAGAGTGACATTTGGGTGTAGATAAAGCGTTACTCGAGTTTGCCATCCTACGCGTGCAGGGGCACATAGCCGTGTCTATAATAGTTAACAGCCTTTCAATTCCGTTGAATAAACAAATGCAAATGGATCCTAATATACACTTGATACAGTGCAAATTTGTGACCTGTATCAATAGGCAAATTGATCCTTTGACAATTTGCAACAAAGAATAACAAAATTAACGTACGACGCCCACTTGAATAAACTATCCCAAAATTGGCCTTTGAAATCGAACAAATTCCAATCAACTTCGCTGGAAAACTTTCTAGCGTAATTCAGAAATGTTGTGAACTTTATTGATTGGGCAGTAGAATATATATCGGCTGTTGTTATGTATTCGACGCAAACAGAAGCTAATTTCTCTTGAGGATACACCGCCGATGGTCTCTTGGGGGTCGCAAACCGCACTATTGCTACGTTCTTTAATATCAAGCCTAGTTTAAGACAAATCCAATTTTGAGATAACAAATCATTTCAAACGAGACCTTAAACGGGTACCTAAATTAAAATGCTCAATTG